TGGTGTCTCTTGGTCTATCTCTCTCTATCAAAATTGTTCTGTTATACATCAGTTCTTCCATCAGGACATTATTTCAGCCTCTTCTAGCACAAATTTGGCCCTTTGCAATTTCAATCCGAGGATTAAAGTCTTCCTCGATTTCAGGAAAGTCGTCTATTTTATCTTTGTGGTTTTTTTTTTTTGTCTGTTCTATTTCTTCTGGTGCTATCTTCAGTAATACCAGAATTTCATATAGTGATCACCTTTGTTTCCATATCCATCATCTTTTTGAAAAGCTACAGAGAACTTGGTGGTCTGAAACTGTTCTCTACATCGTTGACTCTTCTTACCACAGAATATTTTCCACTTTTTGTTTCTTCTAACGTGAATTTCATTTCTTTTCTTGTTTTATAATTCTCCTCTATTTCTTCTGTGAGCTCTACCAAATCACTTTTAAGCTCATTCAGCTTTCTTAACTCTTCTTTGAATACAGAAATTCTTTCTGGTTTGGTTCAATTAAAACAAACAAACATATTTCCTATACTATCTTTGGTTTCTTGTAGAACTCTTTGCCCATACTTTCATACCAACACTTGGCCTGGGGTAATACTCTATTTAAGCCAGGCTGAAACTCACTGGTTCACAGGGAAGCTCCCTGGGCACATGGTGTGTATGTAGTGACTTAGAATTTGTTTTCACTGGTCATCAAAACTTTAAGCTTCAGTCCATCAACATGATAATCCTTTTTTGGCAGCAATGGCATCATGAGTTTCCTTGTTCAGTCCTGTCTATTATGTCATTATGTTTGAAAACGAAACTCAAAGGTGCTTCAGCAGCCCTTTCGCTAACATAGACCATGCCGCACTAAGGTGGGGTCACCGGCTTGGCCCCTCAGAAAGTTCAGGCTACTCAGAGATTCTGAGCTCCTGAAAGCTGCGAAGACATCATGCTGCTGTGAGTTTCCTCTCTCAGTTACCTTTAATTTTACCATGTTCTCCAAATCTTCTCTGTGAATTGTGATTTGGGACTGTGACTGCTTCCTAGTATCATAAAAGAATGGACTTTTCATTTGTGTTTTTCATTCTTATAGATTTCAGTCTGTTTGAAAGCAGAGAGCAGGACAGATGTGTTATCTTTAACTGGGAAGCTATATTCCCCAATATGCTTAGGTTTATTTAGCCAAATTCATTTAGTTATTGTAATAAGATTTTTTAGCCTTATTAAATGATTTTTTATTCTCTTAAATGACAAAATTGTTTCTGAATTTGACATAAGATTAAACACTTTAAATTTAATCACCAAGTAGGTAATCTGTGCCCTGTGCTTTGATGGTGTTATCCATTTACTCGTCATTTCATTAGCTTCACTGATACGGCATAATGTTTGAGCAAAATTTACGTCAAAATTCCTGATTTTTGTCTCTTTTTAACTAAGACTTTAACTGTCCTAATCGTATGCGTTTATCCATCTATAGTGTTATAATTCTTAAATAAGAGAAATATAAATAACCAATTTGTTTAAAATAATATATAATCTACACCCAGATAAGTTACAACATACACGCAACTATTTGGTTGTTTTGGACCTTCAATTAATCAGGGGTTCAATTCATTAATTATGTAAATGTCTACCCACTAAGTCTATAGCATGGAAGCTGATCCCACAGAGTAGGATTTGTCCTGTCAGGCTATTGTGGCTGTTGAGACCACCCTTTGGGTGTGCTGTTTGTGGGGCTAATTGGATAGTGCACTACTGTGGTCTGAAGCTAACCTCCAGGTGTGCTGGTTCCAGGGGCATCTTGGAAGGGGCCCTCATGCAGGCCAAGGTCAATCGCCGTCTGTGACCAGCCCAGGGCCACCTGCTAGGAGTTAGAAAGCAATCTGTGGTTGGTTGCTGCCTGTGCTGGACCTGGAGGCAGGTGAGAGAGGCCGCACCGTGAACCGAGGTTGGCTGCCACCAGCAGCAAGCCTGGTACAGCTCAGCACAGGGGCCCAGGCAGCCTGAGGCCTGACGTCAACTGTCAGCTACCTGTAACGCTGAGTCACTGAAAGGTGGTATGCAAGTTGGGTGAGGCGGGGTTCCAGGTAGTCACCAGGATGGAGTGAGAGGGCTTCCCAGGTTAATGCAGATTCAAGTTTGGTGCGAGTGCTGAGCCTGGGGCCCCTCACACACACAAAAAAAAAAGTCAGAGTACAGTGAGGCCAGGTGCTACCTGCATTAGCCTGCAGACCCCTGAGAGTTGTCCAAGAAAGATGGCAGCACAGGATGGGGCTGATTGTCTGCCACAGAAAGTGCCTCCGGCAGTGTGCAAGCCAAGGCTGGTTGTTTACTGCTGAAAGAGCCTCCTGCAGTGTATGGGGAGGGGCTGGCTGCCCAGGTTCTGAAAGTATCTCCTGTGGTATGCAAATTGGGTGGGGCAGGGTCCCCTGCAGCCACCAGAATGTGGTGAGTGGAGTTTACCAGGCCAATGCAGTTTCATATTTGGCGGTGTCAGAGAGGGCTCAACATAGGAAAGATGGTGCCCACCTTTAGGCTACACAGGAGGAATGGTGGCTATCTCTCTAGCCCTTGCCTGAAGCCACACAACTGTCTTTCCCTGTATCTCTGGTGCCTCTCAAGTTGCCGCCCTCCACCAGGTCTCAGGGTGAATGCCTGCGAGTGAGTCTGTGCACAGGCCCTTTAAAAGGATCCTGCATTCCCAGCAGCCTTCCGTCCCTCCCAGACAGTCAGAATCCCCACTGATTTTCACCATCAGATGTTGTCAGGGCTGCTCTTCCCATCACTGGAACTCGAGGCTGGGGAGCCCAGCGTGGGGTTGGGGGCCCTAGCTTCTTGGGGGAACCTTCATAGCCTGGACATCCCTCCCAATGCTTAACTACCACACGTGGGTGTGAGCCAACCCATTTTGTGCCTCTGCCACTCCCACTAGTCTCTATGATGCCTCTTCTTAACATTCTTCATTATAGGAGTACCGTTCTCCAGGTTGATTATTTGATTATTCTACAATTTCGTTGTAATTTTAATGTGGTCAGGGGAGACAGCAAGCAGAATTTACCTACCCCATCACCCTGCCAGGTACCCACAACTATTCATTTTATTGGAATAGTTAGATATGGTATTTCTAACAGAATATAAGCACCTAAAAATGATCTAAAGATTTGAAAATATATTTGCTTATTTCAAACAGCTGGATGGCTATATTAGGCTCCGTGCAGTAGTAGGTACTATCCTAATTACACTTTTAATTGAGTAGTCAACATTAAATTAAATGTCTACAGTATGTTAACCCAGTGACAGCAGGAGACAACTCAAGTTGCCTTGGAGGCTCAATCAATTACTTGGTGGGAGTCAAGTAACTAATATAACTGTAATTCTTCAGGAAAGGAGATCAAGAAATCAGCAGAATAAGTATAGTCAGAAAAGAATAAAACAGGGATTGAACTGAATACTGAATCATGATACTGAATCAGAGGTGAACACACATGCACACTTAAGGAATTGTAGGGAGCCTGGAGAATGAGGGCAGGAGAACAAGCTGTCATTAGCAAGACCAGGCATGTAGTCGAACTGGTGATACCAGAATGGAGAAAGAGTAAATTACTGTGTGGCTGAGAGAAAATATAACGTTTAAGTCCAAAAAGGGGAGGGAGTAGCAAATACCCTAAAAGAGAGCAACCAGAACAATGCTGTACTGAGAGAAATTATTATCTTCTACAGGTAAGTCAAGTGCTTGCTTACTTATTTATGTAAACTCTATCCTGCACTAAAAATGCTTGAAATAAACTTTCAAGATCTGTAGATAGCAAAATCCCTAGACAAGAATGAGTGAAGAAAACAATGAGGGCGAGAAAAACATGAAGCCAGTGGGGTGCGTTAGTGAACAAACGTGCATGTCACACAGTCCTATTCATGTCCCCAACAGCCAAAGGCAACAGGAAAATGTGATCTGCTACAAGATTTCTGGAGGCCATAAAGCAAACAATCCAGCTGCTCACCAGGAGCGCATGGGTTGACACTTCAGTGAAATTTATCTTACGTGTTTTAATTAAGACAACAGGCATGTGATGGAGTAGATGACATTTTCAATGTCATTTCTACAATATATATGATATAGAATTCTGAGTGATGTTACCATAATTTCTCTGAGTTCAGTCCAAATCATAACTGCATAAATATTTCAGAAAAAAAGCAATTATGCAAATGATCCACATAAGCCACTCCCAGATGGTCTGGTTTATCCAAGAGCAACATTTAGAATATCCACAGAACATCATATCCTTTAGATAATCCTCAGTGAATCCTCAATAAATAATTTCACAACAAATAAATCACACATGAGAAAGTCTTTCATGATATAGTCATTATTTACCCAGAGATAATTTGACAAATAATTTCTGTCTAGACAATGCAGCCAATTAATTACATGTTTTCTAAAACTAGGCAACTCGTGATTAAATGCCATCTACTTACCTTAATTTCTACTGGTTCCTTTTCTTCTCTGGGAAGAGTTATTCCATTTTATAAAACATGAAAGAGAATTATTTTTAGGTATAGCTCCCTGGGTTGTTATTTAGATTTTATTTATAGGGTAATTTAGAAAAAGCTATCAACTTGGAGAGATTACAAGTATGCCTTATTCTTAGTAAAATAAGTACCTGAATTCAAAATCCAAAAACTCCAGCCTCTCAGTAAGTTTTTTTTGTTTCTTTCCATTATAGGTGGAAACAGCACTGTGACCTAAAGAAGCAGTATCCCCTCACAGAGAATCACTCATGCTCTAGGTTTTGACAGGAAAATTGAAATTAACCTGACTGGTACAGTGCCTAAACATGAGCGAAGCAGAAATGCCAGGAAACCCACAAAATTTAAATGCCTTAAAGTGGAAAATGTTATCCTTGGGGGTACTGCCTACTAGGTTGTGAGCATATGGATTCCAGGGTTTCGTACAGCATGTCTTAAATACTCGTTAACTCATGGTCTTGACAGGGAGACATGAGTAGTTAATGGTAATAAAATGTTACCTCAGGTTAGCAGCTTTCCCCGTCTTGTTCACACAGGTAACTTCTCTAGTCTGATATCCAATCTGGATGTCCCAGTATTTGTTCTCTTGTCGGTTCTGTCTGTTTCTGTTTCTCCTCTTCTTAATAAGCTCCGGGGCCTCCGGATCCCTCACTCCTTTTCCTCGGTCCTTCTCCCGTTCTTTATTCTTCCCACGCCTCCTTGCTTGCCTCACCTGTCTTGAGTGGGGCACCGAGCACGTGCTCCAGGGCCCGACGTGCAAGCTATACATGCTCTCTTCCACTTCACATGGACTGGACTGGCACACCTGGAACTCCGTCAGGTTTGGACAGCCAGAGCCTCCAAACTGGGGGGGCGCCACCACATGCCGAGTCCGGTGCTGGAGCCCACTGCCACAAGTCTTGGAGCATTCTGACCAGGCCGAAAACTCAGACACGATGCAGTCTTGCTGGCAGGGGATGAGGCAGGCCTGCTCCAGGAGAGGCTTGGGCTCAAAGTACTCACAAATGATGTCCTCTGCAGGGATGTCTTTCTCTTTCTGGATGCATGTAATCTCTCTCACCTGAATACCTTCTTCCCCCTTGACGCACTCAAGGGGTTTCTCCAGGCTCTTTGAAATCACGGGCTGACACTGATTCCACGCTCCCAGCCTCCAGTCGTACAACTCTTTGTGCCAATCACAAACTTTGAAACAATTTTGCTGGTTACTGGGTCTCTCGGCCTGCTTACAGTTCGTATGTAATGTTGTCCATCCTTCCACATGAGCACACCACACAGCCCGGGTCTGAATGCCTCCTGGACCACATTCATCGCCCATGCATCGGCCCCACGGACCTAAAAACGACACAAGAGTTAACAGTGCTACTGGAAGGACGCTAAAAGTTACTTTACGTTCCAGAAAGGCATTTCAAGTTCTAGTACATTAACTTCCCTGAAGTGTTACAAAGTAGGTCTTTGCACATGACTTGGAAAAGTAATGATTTGCATTAGTATTGCAAAAAGGGAACTGTGTCACAGAGTCTATATAAGGTAACTGCTGGGACCATTTGGCTCTGGGTCCTTTGGGGATTATTAAAAGCTTGCTTCTATTCATTTCCTTAATTTTAGGTTGTTAGAGAAGCCACGGTCATAAAGGACATCAGAAATTAGTCCCAATGAAAACCCATTACTCCTACCTCATAACCATCAACTCCATTTCAGAAACCGGCAGAGAAAATGGACCTGTGTGAAGAATGTGGTCTCCTGCAGGCCTGTCTTTTCCCGAGCAATAAAGTTTTGTAGAACATGCTCTCTTCTGCCTCATTGTCTACTGCTATACACCGTGACTGCGAGAGCCTAGTTACATACGTGTGTGTTGACAGAAAGTGGTTACTGTCTGTTAACCAAAGCTGGGAAGTGAAAGTCTTCATTTAAGCACATTTTACCTTTAAATTTACCCTGCCCCCAATTCATTTTTTTCTCATCTCCACAGTGAAGTACAAAAATGGACAATAGAATTTAAATTTAACTAAAAGACTTGCAATTTTATGAACATTGAAGGGTTATTTGGAGTTTTATTAATTTATTCATTTCCTAGACATCAACTATTTGGTATTATAGAGCTGTCTTATGGAATACTGAAGTCAGTGGCTTTAGTATGAAATGTGGGCCTTTTACCTTTGAATCCTCCTTAGCATAGATTGAAACCTTTTTATGTTTGCATATATATATATATATATATATATATATATATATATGTATATGCTTTTTTTTAAGGTACATAATAGGATTTTCATTGCTCTAACAGGCAAATCTCAATTGATAAAATTGAGGATTATATGATTTTGGAATTTTAAAGAAACACAATGGTCATATAATTATAGGATTTTCAAAATGTGCTCCATGAAACTTGAGAAATTCTTGAATGTAGTCTCGAGCCATCTTCAATAGGTTGCGTGGGAAGGTGAGGGCAGCATTTAGGGTTGGACTGTAGGGTTCCCCAACCTCACCCCACTGCTCTCGCCCCTCATTGCTGCTTCTGTAAGAAAAGTTGCATTGTTTTTTACTTTGTACATGTTGAGATTTTCCATAAGATTTTGTCTGACAAAAGGCTTCTATTGCTGAAAGATGAAAACCACTAAACCAGACCAATAAATTTACTGTGTGGATGAAAATAACAGGTAACAAGAAGGGGAAGTGATTGCCAAGTTCGTATTTTGAATGCATAACAAACGTCACCGTGGATTTCGGATTCCAGTTCTGACTTTTTAGTTTCATGATTTACCCTAGGTTTTAAAGCTCATGACTTAAGATACTCTTATATAAGTTGATTAATCTACAAAGAATGAGATACAAAGAATGTGTTTTCATATTTAATTTAAACATTTAATTTTGTTTAACTAGCAAGATGCTTACAATTTGATAATAACTCCATTACAAATGAAATAATGGAGTTGTAAATAGAAAAGGGATTGACTGAGAATATTTTGCTAACTAATCATTATTTTGTGAAAATAAGTGTTGGATATTTGGCATACCCATATCATTATTTTGTGAAGTTTATATGTGAAGAGTTATGAGGGAGTTAAAATACATTTAGGGAAACAGCCTTTCCAGAGGGCTGATGTCAAAACTTTGTGAGCTAAGAAAGTCTGTAAGTTTGTTACATCTGTCCATGTGCAATACCTGATGTTTTAATCTTATTTTTAATGTGTCAAAGGGAAATACATATTTCTTAATCTGTTCATGCTCTCTTGCAGATTTTGTAAATATTAAGTTTGGGCATCACAGAACCTAGGACCATTCTCAATAAGGGAACATAGTAATACATATAAAACTTTAGAATTAATTCCACACATATCTTTGGTATTTATTCCTTTTCCCCACTGTGCTTGAACAAAACAGTAATCTTTATTTCCCACCGTAACAGGATATGAAGATATGTTTATGTTGGACCACTAAGTTAAGAGTAATGGCTATATGCCATACATGTAAATTACAAAATGAACTCAGAGTCTAAATCTCAGGTATAATTCCTGACAACTTCTTGATATGTTGTTGTTTTCCAATCTTTGCTATGAATTATGAAATCAGGCTGATGAATTAGATTAGGACTATTAAGAAGTTAGTTTTTCATCTTCAAAGTAAAAACAAAAAAATTTTATGACAAATTATAAATTTGGCAGCTAAAAATATTTAATTGTACTCTTCAGATAGGTTGCACTGCTATCAATTGGTATGCTTTAATTGATGACAATTAATATTTTATTACATAAATCTGAATATACAAAATATGAATTGACTTCAAGTCTGCATGTTATTGCTGACTAAGGAAAGCATACATACCAAAAACAAAACCCCAAAACTATGAGCAAAATCTATACAACACTAGTGAACTATTAAGTTTGAAGATTACGCTAAGTAAGAACTGGTGAAGATATGAAACTTTTATAAACCAAATTTAGCAAACACTCTAGGCTTACTTTTAAGTTTATTTAAAAATAAAAGTGAAAGATGGTTACTTTGAAAAGGACTTATGGTTTACTGACATCAAATTAAGGAGAGTTCCGTTCTTTCTCTCAGAACAGTCTGCATGTTTCTCACACCATGCTTATTGCAATTTCATTTAGTTTACTGAATGACTGTTTGCCAAACATCTGTTTATCACATTAGGCTGACTCTGTGGCCCCTTCAGGAGAGAACTTTGCCTTTCTTCTGTAATATTTCATTTATTCATGTCTTTTCATTGTCCTGGCTGGCTTTTGATAGAACTTCCTTAATTATTCTGTTCAGAAAAGAGGGAATTTAGTTTGTAGATCTCAGTATCCAAGGCATTGCATGGTTGATGCCAAGGCATGCAGAAAGAAAGAAACTGAATTCAAGAAAACGTCTACATTATTCCATATACAAAGATAATGAGTAAGCATTTCTGAAGTTTACTTAGATAACTAGGAAACACATACATTCTAAGTACAAATACAATTCAAATTCCACTCCAAACATGTTATCATAGATTCCTATTAGCCAGCTACTCATAGATAACACTGTTGGATTTATTTTATTCCCTATATATTTACATTGAGAACCAGAAGATTGGATATCCTGAGAAAATTCCATAGAGATCTATAAAAATACAGACGGTACTAAAGAAAGATAAAATGTATGAGGACACCAGCGAAAGCAGAGGTGGCAAAATAGTCACAAGGGAACCTCAAGAAAACTCATGCATTTTACAGGCTTTAAATGCTGGCTTATCTTTTCATTGCACCTTGGGTCCTACACATGTGTCCAATTAACAGACCTCTTGAAATATCAGATCTTTACCACAGTACACCGATGAAGGGCTGTCTACTTCTTTCCTCCAAGCAATCTTAAAATAATCACACATTGAACAGAAAGGAGGCCATATCTAAAATTGCTCTTGACAGCTAAGAATTGTTAGCCCATTTAGCGACCATGTTTCAAGGAGTCCAAATGTTGCAAAGGGCAATTTGAAAGCACAATCTGCAAACTCTATCAAGGACAACATGAAATCATCTCCCAAGCACACTAAGAGACTGTGATATTGAACTCATAAGTCTGTATAAATATTAAATTGTAGCCTCACATTTTATATTACAAAGAGTGGGAAGTGGCGGTGTTGGAAAGGTAGCATATGTGTGTGTGTGTGTGGGGGGGGAGATGTTTCCTTTTTAACAAGAACAGAAAAATTTTCATTAGTTTGAACTTGCTTCATTTATTATTCTTGTTCATGATTACATAAAGGAAACTTGGAATCTAATTGTGTAAAACAAAGGACAGGCAGCTTTCTACTTAAGGCCTTGGGTAATATCCCTTTATGAATGGAAATGTATTCCTGCATACAGATTTGTAGGATTGTGTTCATTCAGTGTCATGCAAAACACTTCTAGGATGTAGGTCAATAAATATATGTAGAACACTTAGCTTGACAGATTTTATGTAAATCAAGAAAAATACTGGATGTCTTATTCCACTAAAAAGAAGTTAAAGCAACTGTTTACATACCCAAAATATTTATGTAATTGACAGGCTCATAATAGAAATATTTTCACTTGGAACTGATGCAAAATTATGCAAAATTGTTACAATTTTAAACGGGAGCCCTTTGGCTTAGCTTTCCATAGGTTAATGCATTAAATAGAATTGTTAACTTTCCAAAAATGTTGCTTAAAAACGATTGTGCTTATTCCTGCTAAAGAGGGTTTTATAACATGCCCATTCTCTTCATGTCATTCAAAATTCACTCTTTATTGCAGCCTATAAAAGACAGGCCTTTTAAATTTAAAATTAGCATTTTGCTCACCACATTCAACACTGACTTCTTCTAATGCTACTTTTTATATGTCAAGGGTATAAGAACAATATAAAGTTGAGTCTGTAAAGTCCACGTTATTGACAGGTGGCTGGCAACTGCTCCAAAGAGCCTTATAAAAGATAAACACTATAAAAGGAGCATGAAAAAATTATGCAAACTACTTTCTGTTCTTGTTTGCTATAAAACTCTCAGATGAGCCAGTTTCTTGTTAGACTAACTATGATTGCATCTTTCAGATGACACAGTGCATTTTCCCTCCTGGATCTGGTTAAGGAACAGCGCGTTCTGGTTTGCCGAGAATGAGAAGGGCGCAAGCAGTTTAAGAACACACTAAATTCTGTCTCTTGAATGCTGCATCATATACTATTTAAAATTCATCATTCACCGAATTAAAATAATTCTATTTGTTTTTACACAAGTAAATCAGTATAGAAAAAAAATTAGAAATCACTGCTAATAGGAAATAAAATTCCTCATCAATCCCATAAACTAGAGGTAAGCAGTCTCCATATTTTGCTGT